AACCCCAGCATCCTTAAGACCTTCTACACCTGCACTGTGGAAAGCATCCTGACGGGCAGCATCACCACCTGGTACGGGAACTGTACTGTTCGTGAGAGGAAATCTCTGCAGAGGGTGGTGCGGACAGCACAGTCCATCACCGGGGTTCAGCTCCCTAACCTATTGGATTTATACACCAGTCGTTGCCTGAGGAAATCCAGAAGGATTATGAAGGACCCCTCCCATCCTAGTCACTGTCTGTTCTCTCAGCTGCCGAGTGGTAGGAGGCTCAGAAGCTTAAAAGCCAGAACCAGTCGGCTCAAAGACAGCTTCTTCCCCCATGCAACCAGGCTATTGAACAGCCAGTAATCACTGCTCTGCCCAGCCCAACCCTTCCCATTACACGTACGTGCACCCACTGTACTCCCGCACTTTACTTGCATAGCTGGACTTTGAATACCTATCCAAAGACAATACTCTCCCCCTTGCGCTTCCACTTAACTTCCTGTACCTTGCACTTTACTAAATACTCTGCCACCTACTGTACCATCTTCTACCTCCACACCTAGTGTGATTATTTGCACATCCACATAGCATTGTAATATCCATTACTATATATAGTATATAGTTGATTACACCCACCCTACATTCCCAGTGCAATATTATATGTCTCGGTGCAATATTATTATTTTTAAGTTATTGTGTAAGATTATATGTATATATTTTAGTTAAATTGGTTTTATCTATTCTTCTATCCTATCTATAGTTTTGTTTATCTATGTGTAAATACTGTTCTCTGCATAATTTGTGGAACTCGCACTCAAGTTTTTCACTCACCTGTGTCCCTGTACTCTTGTGATGTGACAATAAATCTGATTTGATTTGATTTGATTTGATTTTTGTCTAGATGTGTAAGGGGTGAGTAGAAGGCAGTGGAGATGGCATCATCAACTGAGCGATTAGACCGATATGCAAACTGGAACGGGTCCAGGGAAAGGGGGAAGGACAGACTTGATGCGTTGCATGACCAGCCGTTCGAAGCACTTCATGAGGATGGAAGTGAGTGCAACCGGACAGTAGTCATTGAAACAGGAGGGTGCCGCTTTCTTCGGGACAGGGATGATGGTGGTGGCTTTCAGGCATGTGGGGACAACAGCCTGACTCAGCAAGATGTTAAAGATATCTGTAAAGACATCTGTGAGCTCCACAGCACAGTCCCTCAGCACACTAACGGGTATGTTGTCAGGACCAGAAGCTTTCCGAGCGCTGATCCTGCTGAATGATCTCCTCACATTGACTGGGCACAGCGTCAGCACTTGGTCTCCAGGAGGGCGTGGGATCTTCTGTGCAGGCATGTTGTTGTCTGTCTCAACCGGGCAAAGAAGTTGTTAAGCTCATTCAGCAGAGAGGTGGAGCTGTCACAGGTCTGCGGGGGGGGCTTGCAGTCTGTGATGGTCTGTATCCCCCGCCACAGTCTCTGTGTATCTCTGCTGTCACCGTGGTGCTACCATAAGAACCCAATGTTTTTCTCTCTGGACTCTAGGACAGCTGGAATGAGAAGCAGTGGGTTAAACACATACAGCAGCTCCCTCGGCCAGTCATGGGCCAGGGTGTCCTATCCCAATGGACTGTCTTGGTCCCGTTTAAAGAATCACAGCCAAGAGCAAGTCGTGTCTGACGAGGCGAGCATGTCCACGTTCACCTGTACTTGCCCCAATTATACTGACTAGGTCTTGGTGAAGTTTCCAGTGGCCTGGGCTCAGCATGTGAATACTCTAAGACAAGTTTCACCACTCACAGCTTGAGATGTTTGATGTGTTTCTGGCCAGTGTCTGCTGACCACTCACCCTGAATCCACCTGTGTTGCCGAACTGTGCACCCTATCCTGTGGTACATGCATCTGTTGTCACTACCTCTTTGCGTACAGTAGCTGTAGGTGACCCATCATCATCCTGGACATGAGGAATTGTACGGATCCTTGAAGCTGTAGCAGTGTTTAGTACTGCACTCTTGCTCCCAGCCTCAGGTGGCCAATGAGTAGCAGAACTGCTGGGCTCGGTCCATAGGCAGTGAGTCTACCATTGTTTGAGGGTTCAGCACCATTCCAAAAAACTGTGTTGGAGACAGTCTGCAGTATACAGACAGGCCCAGTGCTAAAGCGTGGTTCAACAGCCTTTGAGTATCTGTGAGTGCTTGCTCTTTAGAGGGGTGTCAGGAGGCCACTGAAATAAACCACTCTCCTTTGCGAACAATGTGAAAAACAACAGTAGTGTGAAGCACGCGAAAGGGTAAAACCTTTAGAAATTAGTAGAAAAGCAGTGCAGTACTTTTGGGGTCTCCAGCCTAGACAACTCTGAGAAAGAAGAGCATCCCTTACTGTGGGGCCAAAGACATGGCAAACTAAAGGCAGAGGGCGAATCATTGCCTTACATGCATCTAAAAATGTAAACTGTGCCACCTACACTTGGTGGCGGCTATGAACCAAATTAGCCACTATTCTGCCATTACCCCAAGCCAGATAGCCAAGGGGCAGCATTTAAGAGTTTGCTGGTTACTTCTTTGGTGTTACGACCTTGTAGAGAAGAATGCAGGGCCAAAAACAAAAGAGAGAAAATGAACAATCCTGGCCATCCTGGTAACAGTGTTATGTATCCTGGGAGAAAAGTTCACCCGTGCATCTACTTTTTGCACTGGGGTAAATGTCGGTCAGGGTGCCATGCTTTATCTGGCAACACTGCCTTAGAAGCGGCACAAGCATCCACCACTGACGTTGAAGAGAGCCCATGGAAAGCCACCACGTCCACCACGGACGCCAGTGCCGGTTCCACCGAGCTTGTTCGATTCCATAGCAAGCTTGAGTGAAACTTCGCTGCGAATTTAGCGGCAAAATCCGCCCCCCCCAGCGGGAACACAGGAGCTATCCATGGGGGTTGCACGCATGAAGAACATACTCATTTTCGGTGGCTCTGGTTTAGCCTCTGGCTGAGCGCTAAGCTTGTAATACAAGTAATACAAAAAGGGTTCTTAGTCCTCATAAGTCCATTTGTTAAGTTAGCACAAGGAAGCATTTTTCTTATGCAACGTCTCCACTGCTCCATCTGAGGGCTGCTTAGCTGCTTTCTTCGCAGTGCACAGCAGTGCTGGCAGCAGGGCTTCGCTCTGGGCTTCAAGACCCACTAGCCTCTCTTGGCGGTGAGCTAAGGGCATGATTGCACAATTTATGCATGGGTTAACCAGTGCTTCGTAGAGGTGGTCTAACCCGAGGCACAATGGGCATAAGTTGCGGCCATCGTAAGGTACAAACTCCCAGCACCATGTTAGCAATAGCACACTCACAACTTGCTGAAGTGCGAAGAGCTTCCAGTTCCAAGGTGGGAGTTGGGGCTTCTGGAGCCTAAGCTACCTGAAGGCACCGCCAGTCTGGTGGCTAAGCTCTTTCCCCAACATCGAGCTCACTTAAGGTTAGAGGAGAGTTGCAATCCTTGGTGGTCTGAGCCCGCACTGAGATGCTCAGTTGTGGCTGGGCAAGGAGTCGTTGACAACAGCCCATATAGGACTAAAAGAGTTTTGAGGTTCTGACACTATGAAATGATGTCATGGGGCTGCACAACTGGTCTGACAGTGAGAAGAGAAAGGAGAAACTCGCAGTGAGTCATGGGATAATATAGCCACAGTGACTTCACATGCAGGGGTCACATCGTAACTCATTTGGTATACATCCTTTGGCCTGAAGCTGTGAACGAAAGGAAATATCCACTCAGCAAGTACCGCATCTGACCTTCAGGAAATACAACATATGAATTCCATTTTCAGTGACTAAATTATCATGTGTACAGGGGGCAAAACACACACACACAAAATACTTTTTCAAATAAAATCCATATACAAGTGGATAAACAAATCTCTGTACATTACCGAGTGCATGACTCAAGTAAAATCACCGTTGTAATTCTTAATTAGGCACTTCTTACATTTTTGTCACAATCCTTGCAAAACCCTTTGTGCTAGACCTCAGGAATGTTATGAGCTGTATAATTATCTATTGTTTTTATTTGCTCTTTGTGTAAAGCACTTTGACCTGCCACTGTGTATGAAACTGCCTTGCATTAACACACAATTTATAGCACATAGCCTAATTAAATATAATTTATTCATGCACCTCATGTCAGCCAATATGTTTATTCTGTTTGCTGAACTAAAACAAAACTAGCTGAAAATCAAACAGTATTGTAAAACCTTTAAACAGCTTTACTAAGTTTTTTTTAGCGGTTATTCACTGCTAAATTTTGAGCCTTTGTCATTTACTGCCATTTACCTGCATGCAGTGTGTTAACTAACAAAGACAGCATCAAAATCGGACAACATCTTAATAAACAAACACGAGGAACTAAGGGCAAAATAATGGGGAAACTAGGAAGATCAGGAAACTAGCAACTCTAAAAACATGGCTCAGATTTACAGTGTGTTAGCTTTTGTATATTACTTTCGTCTGAGAAGGTTTTTAATTAAATGTATTTAACCCTATGGGACCCACAATACAGTGATAATACAGTGCAAATAAACGTTTCAAACGTTTCCTGAATCTGTAGAGAGTCACCCTTATCATGAGATATACATACGTGACTCACATCTGGAGTTATAAGGCTATGAAGTGTAGGGTGTCAGTGTAAATACAGATGGGCCCAAGCACCAACAATTTTTTTTTAAATGTAGTGCAGCTTGTCAGTTGGTGCTGGAGTACAGAAGAAAAAAATACACAAATAAATAATGTACATTGAGGAACAGTGTGATTACATCAGGTCAGAGTTGTTATTTGTTTTAAGTAGCACATGCTGCATCATTCATAAACATGAAACTATTACACATGGGAGTGAGCTTCTAAGCCACATAAATCTGAGAGTTGCTGACTGCCACCCTCACTTCTTTATGTCACGAAGCTGGACACTGCTGGATGCAGCCACACAGCAGAAGATCTGAATTAAATATTTAAGTATATTACTAATACTGGAGATAGTGGACCCATGAATTTTACTGGGGTTAATGAAACTGATGATTGTCCCCCTTATACCTGTCCAGAGAGATCTGTTTCTACTGCAGTGTATGTGTTTCTGTATGTGTGTGCAGCTGCTGCTGTTCTGCTAACAGTGTGTGGAAATCTGCTCATCATCATCTCTGTTTGTCACTTCAAGCAGCTCCACACACCGACTAACATGCTCATCCTCTCTCTGGCTGTGTCAGACTTTCTGGTTGGAGCTCTTGTGATGCCAGCAGCATTAATATGGATGATCGAATCATGTTGGATTTTCAGTTTGGTTTTCTGCTTATGCTACATATCGATCTCCATGTTTCTCACAACCACATCAATATACAATGTGGCTCTAATCGCAGTTGATCGGTATTTTGCTCTCTCTAATCCATTCCTCTACACTGAAACAGTCTCTGTGAAAACAATGTACATTGTAGTTTTATCCAACTGGTTTGTATTGCTGTTTTATAATATAGCTCTTCAGTACTTCTGTGGATTCTTCTCAGGTCTGTGTCCTGGGCAGGGCTTCATGGCCTTGGATGAGGTCTGGTCTCTGGTTGATCTTCTGTTGACATTTGTTTTCCCATGTGCTGTTATAATTATACTGTATACTCTAGTTTTTATTATAGCCAAGAGACACGCCACAGCCATCAGAGATCTTAAAATTCATACTCAGACTGAGACCTTAAAGAACACAACAGACTCTATGAAGTCAGAGAGAAAGGCAGCTAAAGTACTTGGCATTCTGGTGTCTGTGTTTTTAGCTTGTTTATTTCCATACTTTATTTATACTGTGTTAGGTAATGCAGTAGAAACTGATGCAGGAGTATTTCAAAACGTTTTGTTGTTGGTTTATTTTAATTCCACCATTAATCCAGTTATTTATGCTTTGTTTTATCCGTGGTTTAGGAGGTGTGTTAAACTCACTTTAACTCTACAGATATTCAACCCAGATTCTTCACTGATGAATGTTCTTTAATGAATTAAATGAATTACAGTTGACAGAGTATTTCAGGTTTGTGGACACTGAGTGCATTTATAATTATAGTAATTGGCAGCAACTGAAATACTCTGCATTATACTCTGGATACTGGAGTCCAGACCTTTTTGTCTGTTTTAACCTTCAAAATCATTTAGAGACTGACTACAGGGGGATGAACAGGCTTGAGTATTTTCTATACTAAATGAAACACCTTTAGTACGTCCCTAAACATAATTTGAAAAGTCAGGTAAGGTAGTAAGGTACTGGATTATCTTGCTGCATCTCCCTTGTCAAAGTCTGACATTTGCAGCAAAGCTGTGGACAGCACAGATATTAATAAGAAGTGTTTGCATCAAACACTGACTTAGTCTTTTTAAGTAGTTTTTAGATTTAAAGACGTGTCAGTAGATATGTAAGTTAGCTTCTCTGTAAAACGTTTATTCTCTTATTTCTCTCTTGGTCAAACAATTATATTTAAATGAATGAAACGTGATTTTAATGATTTGTGGTAACCAGTTGTATTTATATAATTAAGAACTATCTCAAAAGGATATATTTCTGTTGGTTGAACTGCATATGAGTTCTTTAACCATTGACTATTTGCATAATTTATTAATCAGTTAATTATGCTTTTGGTTAATTGATTAATCTTGAAAAGAAGTGCTTGTATTTATCTGTCAGTAGTTATGTTTCACGTTATACACAAATGGTCTCATAAACAAATTAAACTTAAACTTAACGGTGGCGCAGTGGGTAGCGCTGTCGCCTCACAGCAAGAAGGGCCTGGGGTTGATTCCCGGCCGGGCGACCAGGGTCCTTTCTGTGTGGAGTTTGTCTGTTCTCCCTGTGTCTGCGTGGGTTTCCTCCGGGTACTCCGGTTTCCTCCCACAGTCCAAAGACATGCAGTCAGGCTGATTGGACGTGCTGAATTGCCCCTAGGTGTGAGTGTGTGATTGTATATGTATGTATGTATGTCTGTCTGTCTGCCCTGCGATGGACTGGCGACCTGTCCAGGGTGTATCCTGCCTTCTGCCCAATGACAGCTGGGATAGGCTCCAGCACCCCACCGTGACCCAGAAGGATAAGCGGTTTAGATGATGTATGTATGTATGTATTAAAAATTACTGTCCTTTTCACACTTTGTGCTTTGAAAAATACAGCACCCACCCTGTCTTCTAAATCATATGTGCAAATAAATAAAAGCACTTTTAGCCAAGGCATGACATCAGATCTTCTGCATCGCTACTGAAAATGTTATTTTACTCAGTGTGAAAAGTGCACAAGTAACAAAAGAACCACACTTGCATGGCAAACAAAGTTCTCTTATGGAGCTAGGTTAACTCTGGAACTTTGCTTTAGTATTCCAATTATTTCTCTGTAGCAAAGATAAGAGAAACAGTGTGTGTGATCGATAATATTTTGTAAACATATCTAATATTACCAGCCACACAAAAACAGCCCGCTCATCAGCTATGTCAGACATGCAGAGTCCTAAAGCAGTGTTTCTCAACTCAACTACCTGATGGTTTCACAAATGTGCTTAATCCCAGATCCCAACATAAAACAACAAAAAACAAAAATAACAAAACCTTGGAACTGTCTGGTGGGCCCCAAGGACTAGGCTGAGAAACACTGTCCTAAAGCATGCTTACTATATGTGAAACAACAATAACTATATGCATGATGTCAGTGTTTTCAAAAACATCTATTTACATGAATGTACAGAAAACTGATATTTAAAAATTTCCACCCTAGAGATTATTTTCCAAAAGTTCAATTTTCAGTGACCTAAAACACAGTTTTCTTGTGGACTGGAGTCCAAAAAGAGGAAAAATTACTACTTCAAAAATTAGCCTGCAGTGTCATGTCTGCAGTGTGAGTACAACCTTTTTATGTGTGTGGTGCAGAGTGCTTTGTGTTTTCCATTTTTGTGTTTTTTGTTCACTAAATGTGTTAAAAAATTGAATCAAATGTATTAAAATGTATCGAGCGAATCAGAATGTTTCAAATACTTTTGAAATACGGCAGCAATGTAAATGCAGAGCGGCCCAATTAGATATTTAACTGAAATAACAACAAGTTTAAGCACCTTGGGTTTTTTAATGGAAATGTATAAACCTAATTCCAAAAAAGTTGAGACAGTATGTGAAATGCAAATAAAAACAGAAAACAGTCATTTGTAATTCCACTGTGATCTGTATTTATACGAAAGCAATACAAAAACAAGATAGTTAAAGTTTTATCAGTTTCATTGTTTTTTGTAAATATATGCTCACTCTGAAATGGGATGCCTGAAACACATTCCAAAAAAGCTGGGACATTCTACATTAAAGCTACTTAAGGCTAAGAATTGTGTTTAATGTTCATAAAATATGTAACTGATGTGATCATGCTTGGATACAAAAGGAGCGTCCAGGAAATGCCCAGTCCTTTATGAGCAAGGATGGGTTGAGGCTCGCCACTTTGCCAAAAAAGTCATCAGCAACTAGTCCTGCTGTTTAAGAACAATGTTCCTAATCAGTCATTTGCAAGGATTTGGGGTATTTCACCCTCTACAGTTCAGAATATCATCAACAGATTCAAAGAATCTAGAAAAATCTCTGTGTGTAAAAAGCAAGGCCAAAAACCACAACTGAATTCCTGTAACCTTTGATCCCTCAGAAGGCACTACATTAAAAACGTGCATGCTTCTGTGATGGATAGCACCACATGAGTTTGAGAATACTGACAATATTGACAATACTTTCAAACCATTGTCAATAAACCGCTGCATTCACAAATGCAAGACGGTGCTATGCACAGTGGAAGCCTTACGTTAACAACATGGAGAAACGCCTCTGACATCTCTGGGCTTGTACTCATCCGAAATGGACTGATCCACAGTGGAAATGTATTGTGGTCTGACGAGTCAACCCTTCAGACTGTTGATGGAAATAATGGACATTGTGTTCTAAGGGCCAAAGAAGTAAAGGACGATCCAGTCTGTTACCAGTGTAAACTTCAAAAGCCAGCGACTGTCATGGCATGGGGGTGTATTAGTGCCAATGGCATAATTTGCACATCTGTGAAAGCAATATTAGCGCTGAAAAATATATACATATTTTGGAGGAACATATGAAGCCTTCTAGAATCTTTTTCAGGGATGTCCATGCTCCACATAACAACGCGAAGAAGTATTCTGCTGCATAATCAGTGTGCAGGTGCTAGACAGGCCTGTCAGTCTCCGGCTAAAAATTTGTGATGCATTATCAAGTGCAAAATACGTCAACAAAACCATGTATATGTTGCACAGCTGAAGAGTTGTGTAATTGAAGAATTGCAAAAATTCTGCTTATAAAAACTGTATCAATTGGTGTCTTCAGTCCCGAAATAATTATTAAGTGCTGTTAAAAGGAAAGGTGATGTAACACAGTGGTAAACATGCTCCTGTCCTAGTTTTTCTGGGATGTGTTATAGGATCAAATTTGGAATGAGTGTATATATACATATCATAAAGTAACATCCAATATTACGTTTTTGTACTGTTTTCCATTTAATACAAGTCAAAAGAAAATTTGCTAACATCTACATTTGGTTTTAATTTCACCAACTGAGTATGTAGTCTGTTAGTCTGTGTTGAAGCACAAAAGGAGAAAATGTGGCTGCATCAGGTCAGAGTAATCACACTGTTGCTCATAAACATGAAACTATTACACGTGGGCGTGAGCTTCCAAACTATATAAATTCAGCACTGCTGACTTCCTGCCCTCACTTCCATAAGTCATGTAGCTGGACACTGCTGCATGTAGCCTCACAGAATATCTGGTTTAAATATTTGACATTTTAAGTATTGGATCCATGAATTTTACTGGGGTTAATGAAACTGATGAGTGTCCCCCTTATACCTGTCCAGAGAGATCTGTTTCTACTGCAGTGTATGTGTTTCTGTATGTGTGTGCAGCTGCTGCTGTTCTGCTAACAGTGTGTGGAAATCTGCTGATCATCATCTCTGTTTGTCACTTCAAGCAGCTCCACACACCAACTAACATGCTCATCCTCTCTCTGGCTGTGTCAGACTTTCTGGTCGGAGCTCTTGTGATGCCAGCAGCATTAATATGGATGATCGAATCATGTTGGATTTTCAGTATAGTTTACTGCTTATGCTACATATCGATCTCCTTGTTTCTCACAACCACATCAATATACAATGTGGCTCTAATCGCAGTCGATCGGTATTTTGCTCTCTCTAATCCGTTCCTCTACACTGAAACAGTCTCTGTGAAAATAATGTGCATTGTAGTTTTATCAAACTGGTTTGTGTTGCTGTTTTACAATACAGCACTTCAGTACTTCAATGGATTTTACGCAGGTCAGGTAATGTGCCTTGGCCAGAGCTTTCTGGTCTTGGATGAGGTCTGGTCTCTGGTTGATCTTTTGTTGACATTTGTTTTCCCATGTTCTATTATAATCATACTGTATACTCTAGTTTTTGTTATTGCAAGGAAACATGCCACTGCAATCAGAAACCTTAACATTCATACTCAAACAAAGAACACAACAGACTCAATGAAATCAGAGAGAAAAGCAGCTAAAGTACTTGGCATTCTGGTTTCAGTGTTTTTAGCTTGTTTATTTCCATATTTTGTTTGTAGCATATTAGTTAATGTAATAGAACTTGAAGTGGGATCATTTCAAAAAGCCTTAATGCTGGTTTATCTGAATTCCACCATTAATCCAGTTATTTATGCTTTGTTTTATCCGTGGTTTAGGAAGTGTGTTAAACTCACTTTGACTTTTCAAATATTTGACACTGATTCTGCACTGATGAATGTTCTTTAATGAATGAAATGGGTATTACAGTTTGGCACACTACTTCAGAGTTGTAGGCACTTAGTTGATTGCATTTACACATTAGTTCTATGACAAGAAAGTGTACTTGGATTGTACCATACTCTGGAACACCACACAGCATCCTCTAAACTTCAAAAGTAGATGCCTTTGTAGACTCGGCCTTTAAAATGGCCTATTACGAGGCTTTCATTTCAGCAACAGGCCTCTTAAGCTGTGCATTATTATAAAGTTCACTGTTTCCCAGATTTCTGGAAGTCACACTTTGTGACACTGTGAGTCATGTTTAAAGAACATAACTCTAACCAAGTTAAACTAGTTTTAACACTTCAAATATTAAAAACAGAGTCTGCACTGATGAAGGGCCTTACAATTATCACATCATCTACTCTTGGGTAATTTGTTCACAATGTTAAATGTACAGCAATAACAAGCAGGTAATTGCTTTTTTCAGTCCTTCTGATGTTCAGCTGATGACTTTTTCTCTAAAAAATTGTATGTTTACAAACAGACACGTGTTGTAACTGTTATCCCAACCAGGCCAGGCTACACACTCCAAGATGCTTAACTGTATGTGATTAAGCATGTCCAAACCACTTGTTTTGCACTTGTTGATAAAAATTTGGGTAAAAGATTCTTTGCACTGAATGCACCAATTTACAATGCGCAAGTAACCACATCAGGATGCTCTTTTCATACCTGCTGATGAACTTAGATTTCTGCTAGGGAGAACGCACAGCAGTTTCTCTGGTCAAGCTGTAACTGAATACAACCACAAAGCTCATCAAGGATGTTGTATAGAGACTGCATGTTCGCTGAATGTATGGTAAGCAGAGAAGTGAGTGAGTCTAGACATTAAATAATTAAGGCCAACACTGATTCAAACTCAAGTAAAGGTAAAGAGTCAAATTAAATGATGATGTAAAAACACAAACACACGGTCAGCCACAAAGCCTAAATGATTCAGTTACGAATAAACATATAAGACTTCACAATAAAAGACTGACCAGTAAGACTATATAAAACCCACTGATTAACAATATTTGGTTGCAGGTGCGAAGTAAACAGTTTAGTATTGGGGGAACAGCAACCTTTGGAGGCATGGATGGGTATCTCCAGGCATGTATGAGTAATGTATTCTGTGTGGGAAAAGTAAAAAAAAACAAAAAAAAACCCAGCACAATATAACTTGATGAAACTTGAAACTTGATTAACTGCTTTCAACCCACTGAACAATTTAATTAGTAGCTTGTGAGATGGTGCTGTGATGCTTCCACGATGTAACCAGAAAAATTTAGATTGTAACTTTAAGAAATGAAATGCATGTTCCCAGCCTGACATCATTTATCTAGTTTGAATTTCAGGGACTACAATGGATCATCATAATATTTGTGATTTTGCAAACATTAAACATCTGTCCAGCATAGATGTGCAGCAATTTCTCAGAAGAACCCACTGGAAGTAGAATCTTTCATGGATGAAACAGGTTTCACCATAACGTCAATTCATTTAACCTGATCTTCAAATGTGTAGTGGAGTCAAGACAAATTGATTTAATTTTTTTTTTTTTTTTTTTAATATGGCATGTATACAACTGATTAGGAATTTTGGAGGATTTGGCATTCCATAATTTCACACTTCCACAGTAAAAAAGCACAATATTCATTGCAAAAAATGCCTGTCATTGTCTCTCAGAGACTTCAGTTACATTGTGAATATTTAATATTGCCATTGCATTCTAGCAGCAACAAAAACAGGAGCATTAAACAGAATTATAAAATGACTGTTACCCGCTCTGCCTCGGGGACTGTGTTGTGGAACTTTGTCTCTGTTCTCAAAACAATAATACTATAAAAGAGAATAACATCTGTTTGATGGAAAAGCATACATTTTAATTAGTGTTTCATTTATTCATTATTCATTCATTATCTTTAACCGCTTAATTCAGATAGGGCTGCAGTAGCAGTTGGGAGGGCAGAAAATCCCAGATGACCCTGTCCCCCGCAACTTCCTCCTGCTCATTCTGGGGGACCCCAAGCCGCTCCCAGGCCAACTTGGAGATATAATTCCTCCTACAACCCTGGGGTCTCGTCCCAGTCGGCCGGGCCTGGTAAACCCCCACCGGGAGGCGTCCAGGGGGCATCCTGATCAGATGCCCGAACCACCTTAACTGGCTCCTCTCAATGCGGAGGATTAGCAGCCCCACTCAAGCTCCTCCCAGACGACCAAGCTCCTTACCCTATCAAGTAGAGTGTAGCTCGCCACCCTGTGAAGAAAGCTCATTTCCGCCGCTTGTATTCGTGATCTCGTTCTTTCGGTCATTATCCACAGCTCATGACCACAGGAGAGGGTCGGGATGTAGACCGACCGGTAAACAGAGAACTTTGCCTTATGGCTCAGCTCCCTCTTCACCACTACAGTCCAGTACAGCAACCGCATTACTGCTGCCGCCTGTCCCAGCCTGCGGCCGATCTCACAATCCCTCTTCCCATTACTTGTGAACAAGACCCCGAGATACTTAAACTCCTCCACCTGGGGCAAGTCCTTTCCCCTTACCTGGAGTGGGCATGCCATCCTTTCCAAGCTAAGACCATGGACTCAGACTTGGAGGTGCTGATCCACATACTAACCGTTTCACACTCCAGTGAGCGCTGGAGGCATCCATGCGATCCAGCCAAGTAGACATCATCTGCAAATAGCAGAGATGCCACCGTCCGGCCTCCACACATAATACCCTCCTGACCTCGGCTACGCCTTGACACCCCGTCCATGAATATCACAAACAGGAGTGGAGACAAGGCACAACCTTGGCAGAGTCCAACACTAACACTGAACGAGCTTGACCTTATACCAAGTATACAAACATAACTCTCACACCAGGAATACAGAGATTGAATGGCCCAGAGTAATAGCCACAGCATCCCATACCCCCGGAGGACCTCCCACAAGACATCTCGGGGAACACAATCCATATGTTCTGGACACTTGGGTGAAGAGGGTGTTGAGCTGTCAACTTATCACCATCTGGTGGTGAGTTGGATCAGATGGCAGGGAAGACCCGGTAAGCCCAAGCTAATAGTGAGGGTGTGCTGGGAACGACTGTCAGAGGCACTTGTTCGGAATGATTTTAACTCCCACCCCCGGTAGAGCTTTTCTCATGTTTCTTTACATGTTCCGTACCGGACCTGACAGTCAGGAAATACAAAAATATTAACTCCATTTTCAGTGAATTTTCGAGGGCAAACACACACACAAAAAATTACTTTTGCAAACAATAACCCTATACAAATGTACGAGCAAATCTGTGTACATTATTGTGTGCATGACGCAAGTAAAATCACTGTTGTATAGGTGCTAAATCTCAGGAATAAGCTGTATTATTATCTAATGCTTTTATTTTCTCTTTGTGTAAAATACTTTGATTTGCTTCAGTGTATGCAATGTGTTTTGCCTTGAATTAGAATTTACAGCATATAGCGTAATTAAGTATAATTTATCCATGCGTCTCGTTTCTTCAGCCAATGTTGTTTATTCTGTTTGCTGAACTAAAACAAAACTAGCTGCAAAGGAAACAATGACCGTAAAAATCAGTTTTACAAGGGTTTTTTTTAGCAGTTAATCACTCTGCTGAGCCTTTGTCACTTACTGCCATAGATGCAGGGTGTTAACTAAAAAAGGCAGCCTCAAAACTGTAAAAAACAAACAAAAACACATATGCACACAAAAAATGGCACTGTAAATAGTTTTCTTCTATAAATTTTGTATTTTGTTTGAACGTTAAATGTTGAATATGTATACACACCTTTTTTCAAATCATGGTTTGTATGAAGAGGGATTGAGATACACGTTACCTGCCTCGCACTGTGTGCAATGTACATTGTAGTTTTATCGAACTGGTTTGTATTGCTGTTTTATAATACAGCTCTTCAGTACTTCTGTGGATTCTTCTCAGGTCTGTGTCCTGGGCAGGGCTTCGTGGCCTTGGATGAGGTCTGGTCTCTGGTTGATCTTCTGTTGACATTTGTTTTCCCATGTGCTGTTATAATTATACTGTATACTCTAGTTTTTATTATAGCCAAGAGACACGCCACAGCTATCAGAGATCTTAAAATTCATACTCAGACTGAGACCTTAAAGAACACAACAGACTCTATGAAGTCAGAGAGAAAAGCAGCTAAAGTACTTGGCATTCTGGTGTCTGTGTTTTTAGCTTGTTTATTTCCATACTTTATTTATACTGTGTTAGGTAATGCAGTAGAAACTGATGTAGGAGTATTTAAAAAAAGTCTTGTTATTGGTTTATCTTAATTCCACCATTAATCCAGTTATTTATGCTTTGTTTTATCCGTGGTTTAGGAGGTGCGTTAAACTCACTTTAACTCTACAGATATTCAACACAGATTCTGCACTGTTGAATGTTCTTTAATGAATTAAATGAATTAGAGTTGGCAGAGTATTTCAGGTTTGTGGACACTGAGTGCATTTATAATTATAATAATTGACAGCAAACCCAAATACTCAGACTGCATTATACTCTGGATACTGGAGTCCAGACCTTTTTGTCTGTTTTAACCTTCAAAATCCTTTAGAGACTGACTACAGGGGGATGAACAGGCTTATATTCAGAAGTATTTTCTATACTAAATGAAAGATTTAAAACAGGTGAGAGAAAATAATTTGTAGTGAGGGATTCTTATTTCATATATCACCTCTAGCAGGCAGGATTGTAAAAAGTACACTGTCATTTTCATGTCAGAATGTCATGTAAAACTAGTGTGATATGAGTAATAACAATATATTCCACATAATTTGAAAAGTCATTAAGGTGCTGGATTATCTTGCTGCATCTCCCTTGTCAAGGTCTGACATTTGCAGCAAAGCTGTGGACAGCACAGATATTAATAAGAAGGGTTTGCATCAAGGTATGCAAGTTAGTTATAAATGTTTATTCATTTCTCTCTGTAAATTATATTTATATGAATAAAACATGCACATGAAATGATTTGTGGTAACCAATCATGTTTACATTATTAAGAACTCTCTCAGTAGAATATATTTCTTTTGGATGATCTGTATATTAAGGCTGTTAAGTAATGATTATTTGCATAACTGATTGATCAGTGAATTAGCATTTCGGTTCAATGATTAAACTAGAAAAGACAAAGTGCGTGTACTGTTAGCAATTATATTCCACATTATACACTCTTATTAAACAAATTAAACTTACAAGGATGTTTTAAAAAAACACTCGGCCTGTAGTCTAAGTCATATTTACAAATAAACAAAAGCACTTTTATCCAGGAGATAACATCAGAACCTCTGCACTGCTAATGAAAATGTTATTTTACTCTGCGTGAACGATGCATAAATACTAAATGAACATTTGAAACAAACTTGCATGGCAATCGAATTTCTTCTATGACAGTAGATTGACTCTAGAACTTATTATATACTATTCAAATTATTTTTCTGAAGCAAAGACAAATTAAACAGATTGTGTGGTTAGAAATACCATGTCATCAAATCTGATATTACCAACCACAAAAAACAGCCCCCTCATCAGCTATGTCAGACATGCCTAGTCCTACAACAGTGTTTGTCACTCAGTCTTTAGGGCCTAGCTGAAGGTTCCGCATGTTTTGCTTAACTCCAAATCTCAATATAGTAGAGTATAGTAATAAAATCATCAAACTGTTTTTGTTTTGTTAAAGGCTGGACTTCTGTCATATTTTCTGTGTAAGACTAACTTATCTTATCACCAGATAAGCTACATGGTAGAAAATTTATTAGGTTGTTAATTTAGTTAGGAACAATGGGTCTGTCATACGAGCCAGTGGTAAGCATACTATCTAATGAGTTTAAATTATGAGAAGCAGTATTTTATTATGGCATATTTACTTATCTTTACCAAGGCTGCTAATAACTATTGCACATAAACTTTCAAAACCAAATGATACCATTAGGATAAATATGTAATGTTAATATTGTCCTTTAAAAAAAGGAATGAAAAATATTGTCTGAACAGTAAAAAAAAAAATAAAAAAAGTGTACCATGACATAGCAATGTGAAAAACGTTAGACAGACAATAATTCAAATTGCTACCATGCGGCTTATCTGGTGACAGAATGCAAACCTTACTAATGTCACTGAACCATCAGATGCATTACTTTCACTGTTAACAGATTAGCTGTGTCACTGTATTATTTGTTGCCACCACAATTAGCTGCAATAAGATTATGATTACATTTATGTTAGCTAGATAGTTGGTCCTGGGTATATGTAGATTTCATTCAAGGACAGACCACAATAAATGGGAATTCACCAGTCAGCACACCTATAGGCAACACCTAGGTTTATTTACAAAGCCTCCAATAACACAGCTTCATTACTTTCATTTCCTTTGTTTAAAGTCCCTTCTTTAGATATTTTCCTTTACAGTCTTTACAGATACCAAATGTTGGTTACAGACAGAAGTCTTTAGAGTCCTTAGAGAGGCAATCCAGTTTGCAGACAACAAGTAAGAGGCCCCCCTGAAGTCAGCAAACAACCTCTATGCAAACTTCACCTCCTTGTTTACTTGTCCAAGCACATACTTTGCTGGTAACACTTCCAGTGGGAGTATGGTCCCAGACATAAATAAAATACAAATGCAAATATCAATAAAGCTTCTAGCATTACTACTGAAGTGGCTACTAAACTACTACGACCACCACATAAAACACATAAAACTGAGCAAACCTACATTCAGCGTAAGAGCAGGATCACTCCTCAACAAGGTGAAAATCAGAACTGTTTGCTGTTACAAAACATTATAAACAATCTTTTTTTGGTAACTCTCTCTTCTTCTCAAAGAGGCCCCTACTGACCCACAGCGGTGAGAACAGATGTAGCACCATGACAGTGGATTACAACTGTCACATGGGTATGGTTACAATTTGTAAAGCACCCCTCTGGATTACTGACTAGAGCCTATCACAGCTCAGTTCAAATGAACTAAATATCTATAATATTTTACAAAAAAATCTACACCAAAGCACAGCTTAATGTTAAAAAAGCGCTATACAACTGGATGACTAACAGTAATAAAACACTGTCTATCCTCATTAAATCCTGGCTCAGGGTTACTCCAAACTCTGGCCACAGACTAGCTGGCCACAAAGTACACTAGAAAGCACAGGTATCTGTGTCTGTAGCCCTGGCCATCTGCTGCAATGAATCTGTAACAAGAGTGAAAAGCCCACCCTTAAGATAACAGCAGAGCTCCTCCACTACACATCTGATGGGCAAGGCCTCTGGATTCCTAAGAACAGGTTAAATGGTTTAGAGTTTGTTAGGGAACACCTCCATAGGTGCTTTTTAAAAGGTCTGTTTAAAATCCATAAAGCCGTAACACAACACTACTGGATTTCCTCATCAGCACAACCAATGACCAAAAACTCACTGCAATCCGCAATTTGAACTCAGAGCTAACGGCATTCAAATGGCCATTTGCTACACGTTCGTGTTTAAGGGGTTGGGCTGCTTCTCTGCCATCGCTCACCGGCCTCTCCTCAACCCACTGGTTGTCCCAGTCATTCATTGCATCCCGCTTGCCCCCCACAATGTTATCAAGACTGAGCTGAGACAGCTGCTAGAAGCCGACTGTGAAAGGCGCCTGACCCCCAGCAACCACGAGAGGTGGCAGGAAACCAGTGCCCAAACCTGGCATGCCGACAAGAGAAGAACAGCCCAGAAAGATGACGCTACGAGGACACCAGCAATGAGAAAAGGCAGGACAAGGACGCCAGCTGCAAGAAAATGCAAAGGCCAAAAAAGCCATGAGAAAAAGTGGGAGAGCTACAGAGCAGGGGCAGTGATGGGGAGGTGGAGCAGTGAGTTTTCTCCTTCTCTTGGCCCAGGTGCTCACGCTGTCCTTGAGAGCCAGCTTACACTGTTTTGGCTTCAGCAGCATGGGTACCGTCCCACTCTGGGCAAGTGGGCTCACTGCCCCCTATTGTGTGTGCATTCACTAATGTGTATGTGGGTGTTTCATTGCACAGTTGGGTTAAATGCAGAGGTGAATTTCCCTTTTGTGAGATTAATAAACGGTAACTTAAAGCAGAGGGAGTTTGGTGGAATTTTTCCTAGGAAGAAGCCAATGTGGCAAGAAACATTAGTAGCTCACTAACAGTAAAAAGGAATGCTTCGTTTTGTTGGCCAGGCAGTAAAACCCTGTGAAGTAAAACCCTGACAGTTTTGTGTTTCAAACTGATGGGGGCAAACCTGAGTGAAGTGTAGCACAACACCCAACAGCCTCATGTTTTACAATATGCACATGGCTAAGATTGATGGAGAACAGTTTATGAACTGATCCATGAGCACAGCTCATTTTGGCACCTTGACATTCTTTCCTATACTGGGTGGGGTTCCTGGCAGGGAGCTCACAAAAATCTGAAAGGGGCTGACACCCCCTCGGTACGTTAATGTGACAGAATTTATCTGAAAGATGCTTGTCAGGTTTGGGCCAGGGGTCAGCAACACATGGCTCTCCATGGCTCCACATGGCTCTGCTGTGGAGCCCCATTGTGGCTCCACAGCAGAATTAGATTTTTAGGTAAAAATAAAATAATCAAAGTAAAAACACCACTCACAGTTTTAATAATAAAACGTCTTAAATGCAGGATTTAATGTATAACTGATAATTCACCCTTTAACCTTGAAGGTTGGCATGCAGACTGCTGGTCACTATAGCATTGCAGACAGTCTCGCTTAGCTAGCAGCTAACGAAACGGCTAAAAAGAAAGATTTAAGATGAACATTGACTGCAACGAGAAACTGTCAAACTCTAAAAACTCACAAAGCTGAAGTCAGCTTCTCGCTTGCTAGCTTCCTGTTTGAATTTTCTCGTTCCACCTTAAATGGTGCAACAGTTAGCTACATAGTAAGCTACATTCTAGCACCTCAGGCACCATTTAAGGTGGAATGGGAAAATTCGAACAAGAAGCTGGTGAAGGAGAAGCTGATTTAGCCTTGTAAAAAAGTCAAATATTTCCACTATTGCAGAAAAGTTTCCTGCCAGAGATGCAAGAAAAGCAGCTATAGCTGAGCTGAAGCTTAAAGCAGAACAAAGCAAGTGTTTTCGTTTATAGTGTATTTTTTAGCTTATTCTATGACGTTAACACATACTGAGACATATTTTCAGCCAAGATGGTAAAATGTTACTTCAATAAAATGGGCGTTAAAACTTGACAAAATGGCTCTTCTTAACCTTTGGGTTGCTGACCCCTGTTCAAGGCAGAATGAAAACCCTGTCCCCCTGCCTCAAGTACTGGGCAGCATGGGCTGACCCACACTGTCCCGTCACAGAGGAGCTCGACAATGAGAACCTTATGGACATCTGAGAAACTTCAAAAAAAAATTTTTTTCACTTTCACGTCGTTTAATAAGGTTCCAATCTGGGCATATGAATAATACAATGGTTAATATAACGGTTAATATGATGATTAATATAATGATTTGAGTACAACACTCCTGTTTATATAATTCACCACTGTTTTTTTTTTTGGATCAATGAAGGGAGCTGGATTTTATAGTCATTCATTGGATTGGTATGTCACATTAAGGTGCTACTGGCACAAAAAGAAAGGAAGGAAAAAAATTAATGTTTTTCATGCTACTGGTACACGCATGTCCCATGTGAAGTCTATTCTAGAGAACCGAGGGAAAACAAAAATAACAAAATTATAGATAAACAAGATGAAAGGGAATATTATTGCAGCAGATCAGAGAGTGTTTATCACACACTGCAGAATGACACTTCCTTACGCAATACGTGTGAAAAGATTGCACAAGGGAGTGAAAAATAGTTTCTAAACTATATAAATCTCAGGGCTACTGGATGTTTTACCCACAACAGTCATGAAGCTGGACACTGCCGCTGCGGACCTACAGAAGATCTGAATCAGACATCTGAATCTGTTTTAAATGCTGGATCCATGAATTTTACTGAGGCTAACAAAAGTGACAACTGTCTCCCTTATACCTGTCCAGAGAGATCTGTTTCTACTGCAGTGTATGTGTTTCTGTATGTGTGTGCAGCTGCTGCTGTTCTGCTAACAGTGTGTGGAAATCTGCTGGTCATCATCTCTGTTTGTCACTTCAAGCAGCTCCACACACCAACTAACATGCTCATCCTCTCTCTGGCTGTGTCAGACTTTCTGGTTGGAGTTCTTGTGATGCCGACAGCATTAATATGGCTGATCGAGTCATGTTGGGTTTTTAAGAGAATTTACTGTATGTATTTTCTGTGTAGTGCTTATTTTCTCTCAAGCATGTCTATATATAGTGTTGCTCTCATTGCGGTTGATCGGTATTTTGCTCTCTCTAATCCGTTCCTCTACACTAAAGCAGTGTCTGTAAACACAATGTGCATTGCAGTTTTATGTGACTGGTGTTTATTGTTGGCATATAATTTAGGAGTCCTGTTCTTCAATTTACCTTTCACAAGTCTGATCATGTGTCCTGGAGACTGTTATTTCTTGTTAGATGAGGTCTGGTCTCTGGTTGATCTTTTGGTGACATTTGTTGTCCCACTTGCTGTTATAACCACACTTTATGCTCTAGTTTTTGTTATTGCAAGGAAACATGCCGCTGCTATCAGAGACCTTAATATTCATACTAGAACCCAAGCTTCAAATAATGCGGCAGAGTCAATGAAATCGGAGAGAAAAGCAGCTAAAGTCCTTGGCATTTTGGTGTCTGTGTTTTTAGCTTTTTTGTTTCCATATTTCATTTATACCGTCTTGGGTAATGTAATAGAAACTGAAGTAGAATCATATCAAAAAGTTCTGATGTTGGTGTGTCTTAACTCAACTGTCAATCCAGTTATTTATGCTTTGTTTTATCCGTGGTTTAGGAAGTGTGTTAAACTCACTTTAACTCTCCAGATATTCAACACAGATTCTTCACTGATAAATGTTCTTTAATTAATTTATATGTATTTAATAATTGTAGCTGCACATGATGTTTTTGAACAAATAGGGGAAAGCCCCCTAATAAGCTCACTTGCCCTATAAGCTTACTTGAAGCTTTAATGTGAAGCTTTTTTTGTCATTTGATGCATATATATATATATATATATATATATATTTGATTTGTTTACTTTCAGAATTTGTTTACGATTTATTAGGCAAGTTTTTTAGGTTGGAAGCAGAATCACATGGAAAAGTCTTGACTCATCCTGCTTTATATGAACCATTTATTTATGCTTTGTTTAACCCATAGTTTAGGCGTGTTACTCAAAAAAAAAAACAAATACACTGCAAACTGTAAGTACCTGGACTTTGGCATAGTTACTACTATTTTAGCTTGGGACATCAGAAAACTGAATTAAAACATTAAATCAATCACTGGTTATGTTATCTTTGATTTGAAAGCTTTTGCATTTGCACTGCATTGACTATAAAAATCTATTTAAGGGTGTCAAATATAACTGAACACATTAACCTAATCTACAATAAATTTATGACGTTTATTTCTGCAGCTTATACAATTGTATAAGTATGTATGTATACGATATGAATGTATGATATAAATGACAAAACTGTACGGTTCATAATAGTAAAAAACATAAGTCACAGTAATAGTAATAAACAGAAGTCATGCAATATCCATACATTTTCAGCTGTCCTATATCCATGACCCTCTTTCTTCCCTCCAAAGTGTTTTCTTTGATGTGCAGATTTAGCATATCACAAAACTTCAAGAGAGAAAGTACAGCACAGAAAAAACTCCAGATAGCAGATTAAAAAAAGATAAGGAAAGAGGGGAAAAGAAAAAGCTGAGGGAGGGAAAACACCATCACAACCATGTGTGTAAAAAAAAGTGAATAAAAAAAGAGTAAAAATCTTATTAATTATGTAATTGACTCCACTGCCATGGACCATTGTAGTGGACTGATGTGTACAGTCCATCCACTCCCATCTAACAGACCATCGCCTTCATACTTACACAAAACGGAAACAAGAGCCTTTACCAAACAGGACCATAAAACCATAGAATTTTGAACTAAAAATCATGTTTGAAGTGTAAGAATGGTCCGTTATGACATGGAAACAAGCTCTAGAGTCTCTGAGGTCAGCTAATGAATGTAAACCAAATTTACTTTAGTGTATTTTAACTTTGCTGAGCTAAGGCAAATGTGTTGTAATGTTGTCAAGTGAGCTCTGTTTCAAGCATATTTAGCAATTATCAATTTATTACAGTCTACCTGAACTCAGGTTTTCCTCTTTGATAGTGTGTCGGTTGATAGTGTCCAAATAAAGACTGAGTTCTATTCTGGATTTGCTTCTTTTCCAAAATATCCAATCTTTAAATTCTTCTGAAACACAATATTAGTTTAAACATTCCATTGTATTTGATGAATCCTTCAATCATTGAAGAGAACTGACCAAAAAAGTGATTTTCATTCTTGCTTTTGCAAAGTAATTGGGGGTTGTCCTTGATAGCTAGTATGATTAATCTTACGCATTCCTGCCTGACACAAGTACTCTGGAATTTGTGAAACAAATGACAAAAAATGTGTTCCATGAATATTCTAAACATTCTCCCAGCTGGACTCGAACCAGCACCCCTGGCCTTACAAGCCCAGCACCCTACCACTGCGACACCGGGAAGCAGAGGTGATGAGCGGAATTACACCCCACTGAATGGTGGGGAAAAAATGAGAGCATGGTGTAACACAAACAAAGGATAAATTAAAAAAAAAAACTAATGACCAAACCAAAAACACCTCTCAAAGGAGAGATGGGCAGCTGACTATATTTCAGCCTCTACTTTTCTTTCTCTCTCTCTTTTTTTGTTCTCGTCTACAATCAAAACAATGTTTCTTTCTCCTTCTTTTCCTTTTTTCGTTTTAATTGCTTAGCTTAGAGCCATGGCGCCAACTTTTTGGATTTCACCCAGAGAGGGAGGTCTTAGTGGACAGCCAGACTCGCTGACATGGTTTTAAACCAGCTGTTGGTACCAAAAAGCCATAGGGAAATATTATTGCATGCGGCTCAAAATAATCCCATGGCAGGGCATCTGAGGCAGGAAAAAACACTCAATCATCTAATGGTCCATTCTATTGGCCGGACATTCGTGGGCGGTGCCTCAGGATACCAAAAGAGATCCTGACTGATCAGGACACTACATTTATGTCACGCACTTTATATGAACTATACAAATTGTTGGGCAATTAAATCGATTCATACCAGTGTTTACCACCTCTGAACGGATGGACTGGTCGAATGCTTTAACCAAACCCTAAAAAATATGATTTGGAAGTTCATTCACGACGACGGTAAAAACTGGGATAAGTGGCTAGAACCACTGTTGTTTGCAGTGCGAGAGGTCACACAAGCCCCTTCTGGGTTTTCCCTTGGGAAGGAGGATGGGAGGAGGGACCTTCAAACAGTAAAAATGTAATCCAATATGTTCTTCACCTGAGAGCAAAACTCCAAGCACCGGGGCACTCAACTTAGGAGAATTTGCTCCAGGCTCAAGAACGTCAGAGTCGCGTTTTCGCCTACGCATGGCCATACTGACCTCACAGAACACCACACAGAAACTCCTCCTGGCATGGTTGTATGCAGCCGGCCTTCTCAATTTTTATTGCCTGAACACAAAAAGATGGTTGTTCAGGATAAAATCCATGCTATGCTTGATATGGGGGTAATCGAGGAGTCTCAGAGTGACTGGAGCAGCCCCGTGGTGCTTGTCACCAAGCCCAAAGGGACCGTTTGGTTCTGTGAGGACTACAGAAAAGTCAACACGGTGTCTAAATTTGATGCATACCCAATGCCGCGTATGAACTGCTCCATCGGTTAGGTGCTGCACATTTTTACTCAACACAGGACTTGACCAAGGGCTAATGGCAGATCCCCTTGACTCCAGTATCCTGAGAAGCTTTTTCCATGCCGTTTGGGTTACATCATTTCACCACTCTCCCGCACGGGTTGGTCGGAGCACCAGCGATGTTTCGGCAGCTCATGGACAAAATCCTCCGCCCACACTGTGCTTATGTCGCTGCCCACTCAAAACGGAGAGCCAGTCAGGCTGAACCAGCAGGCTAAGTAGCTGATGATATTCACCTGTGCCTTGAGAGAGAAGGAGACCTGTAGTGACACAAGCGAAGCAAAGAAAAGAAAAAAAGAAAAGATGAGACTGAAAGGTCCCAGAGGATGTGCTCTTTAATTTATATGTGAGCTTTTTTCATGATATTCAGAATAAAATTGTGTCTCCACACCCTGCTCCCGATGTCCTCACTCCTCCCACCCCTCTAAAATCGTTACAAGTGCGTTAGGATGTAAACTTATTCTGAACTTGAGATGAGATAAAACTTGAGCTCACGTTGCTGTCTGTGTGCTATATCAGCACTTCTCCCCATGTATACAGTAAAACTCATTACCCCTTGGTATTCTGGGATTTTGAGTCTCTGAGAGTAACACTGCCTCGCCGCTGTCAACCTCTGCCTGCAACCAGCCTAACAGACTGACCCTTTACAGGACCTCCTCTCCCAGGGACGGCCCCAGAAGTCCCCAGGCCTGCAGCATGCCTTCTTGGTAGCTCTCTAGCGTGACGGATTGTAATAAATAATGATGTGGGGAAAGTGAGTGTGTTGTGTACTGTTAGAGAAGAGTAACTCCCAGCCGGATTGAAACCAGCGACCCTTGCCTCATAAGCCCAGCACCCTACTACTGCACCACTGGGGAGCACAAGGGGCAAGCAGAATTATACCCCTCTATTTCAGCCTCTGCTTTTTTTTTCTCTCTTTTTGAAATTTCTTCTTATCTAAAATCAAAACAATGTTTCTTTGTCCTACCTTTTCTCTTTTCTTCTCAATTGACTAGCTTAGAGCAGTGCTCTGTTTTCTGCTCTTTGTTTGTTTTCTCTTTTACCCTTCTTTCTTCTTTTCTTACTTTGCTTTTGTATTTATACCCACTTGGGCTAAGTACCATACCGGTCACCCCTCTACAAAGGTGTGACAAGGGTGAGCTGTCTGCCACAACCTTAAAAGCCGGTATCAACAGGTGCGCTCGGTTGGCACTGTTTACCCCTTGGTATTCTGGGATTTTGAGTCTCCTGGAGTAACAGTGCTTTGCCATCGCCCTCTGCTGGCAACCAGTAGCACAGGCTGACCCTTTACACATACACATTGAAAGCACTGTTAATACCACTATGGATCAACATAATGTGGGCAATACTGCAAACATTACATATACATTTCTAGCATATTGGCCAATTTATGTCTGCAACAAAGCTTAAATTTGATAAGCTTTTATCCAAGTCATAAATATTTATTTCACTTAAAAGGACATGGTCTTAGGCCAACAACTCTTGCATAAAGAGTGAAAAAAAAGTTCTTTCCCATGCTCCTCCCAGATAAATTTTGTATGCAACCTCTTAACCATATAAATGTCAGAGCTGCTGGCTCTTTATCTGCAGTTTCTTTTGTTGATGGAGACTGCTGCTGCCTTACCAGGAGATTCTCTAAAGAGAATTCAAGATCTTAATTCTTGAGTGCACTTAAATTGCTGAGTCCATGAATCATACAGAGGCTAATCAATCCGGTCACTTCCTGCCGCTTTCCTGTCCAGAGAGATCTGTATCTACTGTTTATGTGTTGCTGTATGTGTCTGCAGCTGCTGTAGTTCTGCTAACGGTGTTTGGAAACCTCCTTGTTATAATCTCTGTTTGTCACTTCAAGCAGCTCCACACACCGACTAACATGCTCATCCTCTCTCTGGCTGTGTCAGACTTTCTGGTTGGAGCTCTTGTGATGCCAACAGCATTAATATGGATCACTGAATCATGCTGGATCTTTAACAGAATATTTTGTATATGTTATGTAATAACCACTTATTTTCTCACAGGCACATCTATACATAACGTTGCTCTGATCGCAGCTGATCGATATTTTGCTCTCTCTAATCCATTTCTCTATGCTAGAGCGGTCTCTGTGAACACAATATGCTTGGTGGTTTTATGTGACTGGTGTATATTGTTCTCTTATAATCTAGCACTTCATCATTTCGACAGTAACTTCAAAAGTGCAGTAAAGTGTCCTGAAGACTTTGTTGCCTTGGATGAGGTTTGGTCTTTGGTTGATCTTCTGCTTATTTTCGTTTTTCCATGTTCTGTTATAATCATATTGTATGTCCTAGTTTTTGTTATTGCAAAGAAACATGCCACCGCTATCAGAGACCTTAATGTCCATACCACGGTTCAGACACCAAAGAATGATATCGCAATGAAATCAGAAAGAAAAGCAGCTAAAGTACTTGGAATTGTTGTGTCTGTGTTTCTGGCTTGTTTGTTTCCATATTTTATTTACAGTTTATTAGGCAAAGCCATTGAAATTGAAGCAGAATCATTTCAGAAAGTGCTGATCCTTGTTTATTTGAATTCCACCATTAATCCAGTTATTTATGCTTTGTTTTATCCGTGGTTTAGGAAGTGTGTTAAACTCACTTTGACTCTTCAAATATTCAACACAGATTCCGCACTGATGAATGTTCTTTAATGAATGAAATGGGTATTACTGTTGGCACAGTACTGCACATTTGTGGGCACTGCATTTATACATTAGTTCTGTGTTCAGAAAAGGTACTTGGACTCCATCATACTCTAGAACACCAAACAGCGTTCTATGAACTCCAGGAATACATGCTCTTGGTTCTACAGCTTTAAAATCAAACAGCTTCAGTTGATTCAAAATACAGCTGCCAGAGTCTCACTGGGAGTAAAAGAAGGGAACACATCACCCCCCCACACCCCCCTCTTCTTAAATCCTTATACTGGCCGTCAGTCTGTTACAGTACAGAGTTTAAGGTGCCGTTACTGCTCCATAAATGCTTTAATGGTGCAGGAGCAGTGTATTTATCTGATCTGCTGAAATTATTATGTACTAGTCAGTTAGTCCTGCTGAAGTTTAAGACTAAATATGAAGAAGCAACATTTAGCTACTATGCTGCTCTGAATGCAACCAGATGACAGAACATTAGAAAAGCCCCATTACACACTTTGAAACCTGGCCTGAAAACGTTCCTATTTGAGCAGCTTTCATCTCAGTTTAAAACACTGTAAGCTCCTCTGCACTCCTCTCCTGTAAGAGCACTATGTTATTCTAATTTAAATTTTATTTTGATTTTTACTTATCCTAATTAATTTTTAATTTGATTTTTAATTCATTGATTCTTCCCTCTGAAAATCTACTATTTCAATCATGTTTTAATCACCTTTCTAATTTATATTGTCCTTCACGTTCTTCTAGTCTCCTTTACAGTTTAAATGACTTTGTATTTTATTATTTGTAAGGCACTTACACTAAACTGGCCTTGTGATGCACTGCGGCTTTCATTTATTCACTAGAGTCTAACAACAGACTTTTGCAGAGAGCAACACAGACATCTGAAGTTGTGCTTTATTTAACAGTGTGCTGTTTCCCAGATGAGATTTCTGGATGTCACACTTCTGATGAGTCATGTTTGAAGAAAATAACTCTTTGCCTAAGTTAAACTAGTCTTAACACTTTAAATATTAAAAACATATTCAGCAATTGATAAGGGGTCATACAGACATCATTTCAATTCATCTAACTTTTGGGCAACAATGCGCTCACAGTGTTAAACATACAGTAACAACAAGCAGGTAATCCCTTTGAGGCCTTCTGATGTTCACGTCATGACTTTTTCTTTTAAAAAAATATTGGATACGTACAAACACACAAAACCTGGAAGCTGTACTAACCAAGCTACACACACCAAGACATTTAATTGGATCAAAGCTTCGCTGAGTTTGCTGTTTTCATGGCACACCAGGATAAAGTGAGAATCCAACTTCAATAAAAACTGGAAATGATGCTACCAGTTGGCTGACTGCCAGTATATTCTTTTTTTCTTTCTTCTTTTGTCTTTTAAATTTAATATTTTGTGACATAACTAAATAATATATGAATGCTTTAGTGCAAGTTCTGCCAGGGAGACTTCAATGCTATGTCACTCATTGCTCTGATCAGTCACAAGCTTCCACCTGTCTTTAAAATGACTCGATTTACACATCACACATCTGCTTTGCTGCTTTCAAATGCTGATGTTTTGTCCTTCTTATTCACATTGCCGACATATCTCACTTTGAGATTCTGAGGTGTGTCTCCACCGCCATCTACGCGCAGGAGTGCTCATATTCACGTCCAGGAAGCTCCCTGGTCTTCTTGGCTGTCCGAGAGGATTTCGAAGGTGCTGGGTGACAGCAATTTGTTAAGGAATGATCTCCCCTCCTGGCTGCTCATATTTTGGGCTGCCTTACCTTTCCTATTGACAGCATTGCTCCAGCTGTTTCCATGGCGCCTGCACAACCCGCGAAAGCTGGAAGGAAGTGTTCGAAGTCTTTCTCTCCTCGCTGGGCAAAGAGGTCCTGTGGGTCTCTTGCTCATCTGCTTTCCCACCTTCGATGCTCCCCGCCTCCGGTTTCTCAGGCCCCGACTGCCCCAGATCTCCGATTTGTTTTCGGCTAAGTGTGCCTCGTACATTTCTCTCTTCGACTCCAGATTGGACTGGTCTGTCACAGACACTGAATTGATGGTTCACCACTTTGGCGGCCACTGCATGCTGGTTTGTGCTGATTGTAGGGCTCAAGGTCACTCATCTGCCCTCTGCCCTATGACGTACGCTGCTGCAGCTGCACCCACTGGCCATAGTGATGAAGCTGCAGGCGATCCTCGAGACAGATGGACCTGCCACCTTGTTAGTTTTAATGGAAACATTTTGATCTGTCCACTCCCATATGATTGTATTAAAAGCAGAACTACAGTCAATAACAGCTCAACTCATAAGTTGTGCTCTCAGCTGAGTGGGGGAATGAAGCAGATGTTGATGTTTGTGGAAAGTGCTCATAGTTGAAATCCAGGCATATCATTTCATACACAAAAACTCCTGAACTTCAACAAAAACAAATGATTAGAAACGTTAGTGTGTCTCCAAAACATTTTAGTATGAAATAGTGGCTAACACCATCGCCCCACACATGAGCAGTAAACAGTTATGCTGTCACCATGGCAATGTTTACATAGTTTCATGCTGTTGTTTCATGCTGTGAAAAAAAGACAACATGTAAATACAGCATTTAAAAAAAAGAGAACATGTAAATACAGCATTAAACATTTAGGTACTATTCAGGTTTCTAAAGACAGATTTATTTATCTGCAAAACACCTCCAAGCTGTACATGTGTATTCATTTTATTTCCCGCTGGGAGTCCATTAGGTCCACAAGCCTACTGCAATTTTAAAATGTTTCAATGGACTAAAGAAATACTGCATTCAGTGAATGATTTACTTAGTTTCTTGTAAAATGATGCTGTGGTACTGCCAGGATGTAACAAGAAGAATTTAGACTGGAGCTTAAATAAATTAAATGCATGAAATCAACTTGACATGATTTAAATAGGCTGAATTTCAGGGACCACAATGGATCATCATAATATATGTGATTAAACTTACATGTCCAGCAAGTTCACTGTGTTAAATCTGCAGCAAAGCTACAGATTAAATTGTGATACATATCTGAAAGGATATAATCCATGGCCATTAACATTGAAAGGTACTGGGAAAAATGTTCCCCTGCTCCACCCATTACTGAATATGCATCACGCTGCAAGTCAAACAAATTAACATGGCCAACTTCTCAAACATATAAATATCAGAGCTGCTTGTTGTTCATCCTGCAACTTCTTTTTCATGGAGATGGACTATTGCTGCTTTACCAGGAGAATCTCTCAGAAGAACCCATGACCTGACTTATTTCAACTGCTGAAGTACTTCAACTGCTGAATCCATGAATTATTCAGAGCTTAACCAAACTGATCACTGCTTACATTTTTACTGTGCGGAGAGATCTTTATCCACTGTTTATGTGTTTCTGTATGTGTCTGCAGCTGCTGTAGCTCTGCTGACAGTGTGTGAAAACCTGCTTGTTATCATCTCTGTCTGCCACTTCAAGCAGCTCCACACACCAACTAACATGCTCATCCTCTCTCTGGCTGTGTCAGACTTTCTGGTTGGAGCTCTTGTGATCCCTATAGCATTAATATGGATCATTGAATCATGTTGGATTTTTAATAGAGGTTTCTGTATAAGTTTTGTATTAACAGCCTTTTTTCTTAAAAGCACATCTATATTTAATGTTGCTCTGATCGCTGTTGATCGATATTTTGCTCTCTCTAATCCATTTCTCTACACTAGAGCGGTCTCTGTGAGCACAATGTGCTTTGTGATCTTGTGTGACTGGTTTATTATGTTCTTTTATAATCTGGCGGTTCACTATTTCAACAGAGACCTCAAAGGTTTAGTAATGTGTCCTGGAGACTGCTTTCTTGTCTTCGGTGAGGTCTGGTATCTGGTTGATCTTGTGTTTATTTTTGTTTTTCCATTTGCTGTTATAGTCATACTGTATGTTCAAGTGTTTGTTATTGCAAAGAAACATGCCACTGCTATCAGAGACCTTAATATTCAGACGAGTACTCAGACATCAAAGAAGGATATTTCAATGAAATCAGAGAGGAAAGCAGCTAAAGTACTTGGAATCGTTGTGTTTGTGTTTTTGGCTTGTTACTTTCCATACTTTATTTACAGTTTATTAGGTAGGGTAATTGAAATTGAAATTCAGTCATTTCAAAAAGTTCTGATCCTTGTTTATTTAAACTCCACTATTAATCCAGTTATATATGCCTTGTTTTATCCATGGTTTAGAAAGTGCATTAGACTAGTTTTAACACTTCAAATATTAAAAAAAGATTCTGCGCTCATAAATGTTCTTTCTTAAGCCCACTTAACCAATAAGCTCACGTGCAGTTTTAATGTGAAAAACCTTTTGCCATTTGCTGTCTGTAAATTTGATTTACTTACTGTTTATTTTGTTTATTCGTTATTAGGCAAGTTTATTATACTGATAGATGAATTGCTCATGGATGAAACGGGTCTCACTATCACGTTAGTTCATTTAACCAGATCTTCAAAATGTAGAAGAGTCAAGACAAATTGACTGAATTGTTATTTTGTTTGTTTGTTTATGTGGCATGTATAGGAATTTTGGAGGATTTGGCATTTCATAATTTCACACCTCCACAGTAAAAAAGCACAGTAGTCACTGCATAATGACTAGTGGAGTTACCATGGCCAGGTGTGGTTCTCTCAGTGTAGGCTGGTCCTTCCTGCATACATTCACTTGTACCTATTGTTTCTGATGAGTCTCACAGAGACTTCAGTTACATTGTGAATATTTAATACTGCCATTACATTCTATCAGTAACAAAACTGGAGCATTAAACAGAATTATAAAATGACTGTTACCAGCTCTGCCTCGGGGACTGTGTTTTGGAACTTTGTTTCTGTTCTACATACACCTGGCCCTAACAGCACTTTACAGGTTTGTTCTCAAATTCACCCAACAAAACAATAATACTATAAAAAAATTAACATCTGTCTGATAGAAAAACATACATTTATTTTAGACTACAACTTTTGTGGCTTAAAAAAAGACAAGGCTTTTAAACCGAAAAAAGCTATTAAACAGAAAAAAACACCAATGTAATGGATGAATGCTTGAGTATTCAAATTATTTGGGCCAGCCTTAGTCCTACATACAGTTTACAACACAGTAACATATAATATATGACTTATCCGAAAGCATGGGGTAAAGATTTGATTTAAAGGGTGGTTTTGATCCCTTGTAATATTTAATGCTTGTGAACATACCCTAAAACTCCACAATCATCTCCTTTGTTTTATTTACATTCAAAACGAAAGTGTTGAGATTACATACACCATTCAGCTTAATCCACTATCCCCATTCGTACCTATTAACATACTAAGTCACTAAACCAGTTCATGAGGCGTCAAACACATTGTGGCGTCAGCATAGTGTAAGACACAGAGGAGGCCGTGATTTCCACAAGAAGTGCTCTTTATTAAACACCAGGACAGAAAGGCCATGCAGAAGCCCAAACCCAGAGGGGAGGTCACTATTAGCCAAAGGCTTCACCCTCACAGTGGATCAATCCCCAACACCAAACACACTAACTACACCTGTACACTGGCACAAAATAACACAAATAACATACATACACAACGTAAACTAAAGCTACATCAACATCACTGGTGAGAGCCCCAGGGAATCATATTCCGCACAGCAACAAGTGGTCACTTGGCATTACTGCTGGACAGCAGCCGTCACTGTGATGCAGCTGTGTTTGGCACTGGAGAGGAAAGCATGACAGGTGCTTGTAGATCCGCTACCTGAACATGATCACCTAGCGATACTGACCACAGCCTTCCAGTGACGCTTTGACGAGTCGGTTAGACAGCTGCTACTGAAGAGGCACAGGCTAAAGGGAGAATGGATCAGCATGCTGGCAGCAGAGCTCAGCACAATGGTTCAACAGGCATACTCAGCTTCCAAGAAGACTGCGCAGGAAGAGTTGGAACCCTTCCTAAATGCGCAGCTGTCAGAGGACTTGAGACAGCACGTGAAACTCGCAGATTAACACAGTGTTAAGCAGACAGAGAAGCTCGAGGAGAAGACGATGTGTCGAGGAGGCCCAGACAGAGTGGCGCAGAAGCAACTGGTGTGCGGGTGGTGCAGTAAGAGGGAACACCATGCCTGTCAATGCCATGAACATGAGCCGGCAGGAAAATGGAAGCCAACTAGGAAGAGTAACTGCATTAGAGGGAGGAAGTTTCTCCTGGTCATAGCAGGGAGCCTGAGCCAAGCGTACAAATTCTGACTACCACCTATACAGGATGCGTGCATGCTCAGGCTGCATTTCCTCAAAGCGGCTGGGGCCATGCTCAACATTAGGAGGGAGCTTCAAGAAGGGACAAGTGAAGCTGCTTGACGTGGCTAGTGGTAGATCCCAGAGTTCCATGGGCAGCACACACGAACAGCACCCCTGTCAGCACTGATGACATAGTGAATGGTTGAGAAAACAGAAGACAGCTAACAGGAGTGAAACTGCAGCTGTCATCTCTCCCAGTAGCACTGGACTTCACACTGCGAGGTACGAGGAGTTTAGCCGTGCCAAGGAGGACCCCTGCCACTGTATTAATATAATCCGTCAGCCTAGTTTGGTGCCGCAGTGCCAAGGACACAGCACCGAGAGAGAACTGGGGATACCCCCTGTGAAGGAGCAGGCACCCCGAGGCATTTGTGCTGTCCTAGATGGTGGACAAGCCCGGGCTCCAACTGCAGTGAGGCCACGGTATGAGTGATACATGCTTGCACACCCCAGGGACTTTGTTTGGGCTGTGTGGGTCGCTGGGACAACTGACCCTTGAGAGAGGCTGTCTGGCATGCACAGTGAGCTCCACACTGCGTGGGGAAATTAGCAGGTGTGGCCCTGCAAACTGGCGCTCAGGGCGCACCACACTCCCAATTAAAAACACAGCTCTTGTTGTACTGGTACCTTTGGTGTGTAGATGCATTTAACAGAGTAATTGTGTCCAAGGAGGATGGACTTTGTGGGTAAACAGTGTCTCCTCTTTGTGTTGGGGAAGCACTGGGCTGGGCATTTCTGGTCTTCGTAATGACTCACTGTCGAACTGCCTGTTAAAAAAGAGCATTAGCCTGTATGCGCAATGTTTTTTGTGGCTTCTTCTTCGCCAATGCTACAATATTTGATAATTAGAAATTGCATATGCTTGAGAACCATGTATACAGAGTAAATCAACAGACATAAGACACATCGCTTGAATGACCTTATTCTTAATACTTACTCAATACTTACCCATGGATACTGAATGCTGGACAAATTGATTCTGTCTTTATGCAACCAGCCAGGGGAAACTCTTGATAAGACACTAAACATGTTCTTAACTTATATACTGTCACGCCTTCTTCCAGCCTGGCTGAAACTACAGCAAATGGGGCTGCCCAGGATTTCAATTCCCAGAACTCCATGCACATGACAATGGACACTCACCAATCCACCTATCAGCACTTCTCATCTCCAGACTACTGATTACTCTCACACCTGTTCCTTATTTCCTTTGTTGGTTAGTTTAGTATTTAAGCCCTGGCTTTAGAATAAGTTATTTGCGAAATATTGCCACCTATGTGCGCACTGAGCATTTCTCCAATGTTTCTGACTGCTTCCCTGTGTATGATCTGTTTTCTGTTCATGACCTTGATTCTTGCTGTACCCTTTTGTTCTGTGTTTGTGTTCTGGTTTTCGACTTTCAGCTTTGGTTTATCGACCACATATCTCATGGTCCTCCCGCGAAATAACAGTTTCATCAGACTATTGTTACTCTAATTGTCTCACATTTCCTGTACTCAACTGAGTCAGTTCTACCACCATTGAATGTCCCAAAACCACTTACATTACACAAATTCCCCCTGAATATTCCAGCCTACTCGAAGTTTTCAACAAAAAGAACGCCACTAAGCTTCCCCCTCACTGTCCTTATGACTGCTTGATAGATATCCTAGAAAGTGCCCCATTGCCTTAATCCCATGTGTATCTGCAAAAGCAAGAAGAGGAGAAAGCCATGGGGAGTACATTGACGAGCATTAGCTCAGGGGTTTATCCGTCCGTCCACTTTCCCAGCTGCTTCAGGGTTATTCTTTGTTAAAAAAAAAAAAGGATGGAGATCTTAGGGCTTGTACTGACTATCGAGCTCTCAATGACATCACCAAAAATTCACCTATCCCTTGCCACTTATCCCTGTAGCACTCGAGCAACTTTGTGGAGCCCGATTTTCACTAAATTAAAGCGAGCAAATCACAGCTGTTCTTAAGGGAGCGTCTAAAAAGTTAACTTGGTGTCCAGCAGCTAAGAAAGCCTTTCAGGATCTAAAACTTTGTTTCCACTTTATTTGTGATTCTGCAAACATTGAACAAACATGTCCAGCAAGGTCACTGTTTAAAATCTGCAGCAAAGCTACAGATTAAATTGTCAAAAATATCAGTTTCATTTGAAAGGATATAATCCATGGCCCTTGACATTAAAAGGTACTGGGAAAAATGTTCCCCTGCTCCACCCATTACTGAATATGCATCACGCTGCAAGTCAAACAAATTAACATGGCCAACCTCTCAAACATATAAATATCAGAGCTGCTTGTTGTTCATCCTGCAACTTCTTTTTCATGGAGATGGACTATTGCTGCTTTACCAGGAGAATCTCTCAGAAGAACCCATGACCTGACTTATTTCAACTGCTGAAGTACTTCAACTGCTGAATCCATGAATTATTCAGAGCTTAATCAAACTGATCACTGCTTACATTTTTATTGCCGTGACAGATCAGTATCTAGTGTTTATGTGTTGCTGTATGTGTCTGCAGCTGCTGTAGCTCTGCTGACAGTGTGTGAAAACCTGCTTGTTATCATCTCTGTTTGTCACTTCAAGCAGCTCCACACACCGACTAACATGCTCATCCTCTCTCTGGCTGTGTCAGACTTTCTGGTTGGAGCTCTTGTGATCCCTATAGCATTAATATGGATCATTGAATCATGTTGGATTTTTAATAGAGGTTTCTGTATAAGTTTTGTATTAACAAACTATTTCCTTAAAAGCACATCTATATTTAATGTTGCTCTGATCGCTGTTGATCGATATTTTGCTCTCTCTAATCCATTTCTCTACACTAGAGCGGTCTCTGTGAGCACAATGTGCTTTGTGATCTTGTGTGACTGGTTTATTATGTTCTTTTATAATCTAGCGGTTCACTATTTCAACAGAGACCTCAAAGGTTTAGTAATGTGTCCTGGAGACTGCTTTCTTGTCTTCGGTGAGGTCTGGTATCTGGTTGATCTTGTGTTTAT